CCGCCTCCCGCTCCAGCTCCTGCTTCGCTATCTGCAGCATCAGGGTCTGCAGATAGGACGCCAGGACAGCAGCCCACCCAATGGATGGGTGAGCATGGTGCAGACCGTGCAAGGAGGCCACCTCAGCCCGGCGCTCCCTCTAATCCCAGGCCAAGTCTTCAGTCTTCCAGAGACTCGCCCCCTCAACGTCCATCATTCCTACCATAGCGGGGCCTCCTCGCTGCAAAGCCACGCCCCAACACGCACCACTCTAAGCCTTGCCCACCCAGGACAATCCGAAGCCCCGCTCTGAGTTTCAAGCTCTGCCCCTCAGAACACCTAGGCGCCTTCTCCAGGCCGGTCCACACCTTCAGCTGCAGTTTTCTCGAGGCGGAGATCTTAGACTTTTTCTGCCGGGGTGAAATGGAGAGAGGAAAGATCAGGGGCGATCCGAAGGTGGGCGGTGGGAAGGGCTTCAGAACCCGCCCCCTCAAGTCAGGTCCAGATTTGGGCCCGCCTTCAACTCGAGCCTCTGGTATACCGAGGCTAGGCTACCCAGCACCATCCACCATCTGGACTCACTATCCCCTTAGCAATAGCAGTTCTCACGGGCAACAGGATTCTGCCCATAGGCATCTCTGACCAATCCTTGCCCTGCCTCGTGCAGAACTCCGCCCCTGATGCCCCTCATCCCCTAGGGCTCTGCCCATGACGGTAGTCCCACTTCCATTGAGGACCCTGCCCCGCCCCCACCAGAGCAGGAATTTGGACCCCTGCGAGGCCCCCCCCACTCCGGCCCCGCCCACCTCGCTGGCCCCGCCCTCACCTTGGCGTGAGGTTCCGTGGCGTAGGCGCGGTAGTTGACAGAGGAGCGGCGGCGGACCGGAGCAGACGCGGGGCGCGGGTCCCCGGCCTGGGTTGGGGAATGAAGCCGCGTTACCACCTGGACCCTCAGCCCCTCTCCAGGCTTCTCCTAGGGCTCCAGCCTCCCGCCCCAGAGTCCTCCCTACAGCGCCCTCCCGGGCCCGGAGGGGCCGGCCCACGCCTGCTCTCACCGCATCGCTGCTCCTGGAGGGAGAGAAACCAGGAAAGAGGATTAATGCTGTGCCTGTGTCCTGTCCAGTCCGTCTCCTAAGGGACCCCAGATCCTCCTCTGACCAGGAGATCTGGCCACTAGGTCCCGCGTCTCGGGTCCTAGGAGTCTGATTCCCAAACTTAAAGCCCATTCCGTCTCTCAGAAGTCCTGTTCCCATCTCCCTTCTCAGACCATGGGTGCCGCCTCGCAGCTCTCACCTCTACCAGGAACCTAGAAAATCGCCCCACCTCCCACTGCCTCAGGCCTCAGGAGACCAAGTTACTAGCTTCACTCACTCGTCCGCCATGCTGATACTCCTGCCAGGAGTTACAGGAGGCAGAGAAGGGGCAAGAGGCTCTTGGAGGGTCAGTGAGGGAGTGTCCGGGATGACCTTGAAGACCCCTGGGACTTCGGTCTCGTCCAGGCTGCTCAAGCCTCGCCGAGGACACTGATAAAGGGCAAGGGCAGAGACTAAATATACTGCTGCCCCCTCCTTTCCCTGCCCAGGATGAGAGATAACGGGGCGCGTGAGGGGTGGAGCGGGCCGTGCTCCAGCTGGATCAACCCTCCACATTGGCAGCCTAGGAATCTGGTCCCTTCGCTCTGACCCAGGAGTCCAGACCTTTAGGTGGTCCTCCCTCAGACTCAGGAGTCCAGGCCCCATCCCTGCATTAAACTGCAGTCTGGGGGAACCGGAGCTTTGTCTTTCTTATTCATCTTATGGTCAGCCTCAGTGCCCCAAACCTGCTAACTACTCAATAAAATTTTATTTTTTTAGGCGAGGCAACCCTTGGTTGACCTCACAGATTGCAAGGACCTTGTCAGCTTACGATCCCTTATTTATTTATTTTTTTTTACACCTACAGCACCTGGTCTTCCTAGGTGGTCTCTTATCCAAGTACTATCCAGGCCTGACCCTGCTTAGCTTCCTGAGATCAGACTGGATCGGGCTTGTTCAGGGTGGCATGGCGATAGACAGATTTTGTTGATTTGAGGTGTGGGATGCCCAGGGACTCAGGCGACAGCACCAGGAAATCCACTCCGAGTCCACTTGGAAACCCAGAAATTGGATCTTGGCTCTCCTCTCTTGACCACTTCTGGCCCCTCCCCTGCCCCAGCCCTGAAGACAGAGGACAGGAAAGACACACAGACACATGGAGAAGAAGACCAGGCTCTCTTTACTTGGACCACGTGGGTAAAGATCAGCTCCAGGAGAGGAGACATCCCAATCCCCAGTTAGGAATGGGACACCTGGGGACAACGTAGATGGTCGGAGACCCAAGGCCCAATCTCTAGGCTGTGTTTAGAGTCTCTGGGGTGGAGTGTAGAACTCTGAGAGAACAATCTTAAATTCTAGGAATAGAACATAGAATCCCAGGAATAGAATCTGAAATTCCAGCAACCTCTGGGGTGGAGTGAAACCTATGAAGGTATAACTGAGTGTTCTGGAGGCAAGCTCTAATTCCAGGACCTGACTTTAGAAGTTAGAGATGGGGACTTGGTTTCTGGGGATCTAGTCAGGCTCTCTTGGTTTTGGGTTGGAGCTAAAGCCTCAGAGAGTTAACCTCGAGACTCTGAGGGCAATTGGAGAGGTTCAGAGGGTGGGGTTCAGCCTTGGAGGGACTGCATCAGGTCCTCAGAGGGCGGGTTCATTGCCTCAGGGGATGGGTCCAGGACTTCAGGGGGCTGATCCAGCACTTCAGGGTGTGGAGCCAGGACTTCAGGGGCTGAAGGCCTGGACTCCACTGCTAGGTTAATGCAGTCGGTAGCAGAGTCTTCTGACCTGTAGAAGCGCACGAAGGTCTCTGAGGGCCTGGCCCCGGGCTCTGGGGCAAATCCAGCTGCCTGAGCTAGCTCCGCAACCCGGGTGGTAAACCCCTGAAGCTGCTCATGCCGCAGGTCCACCAGGTACCTGAAATCCAGAGGCAGTGTGTTAAGGGACCTGGCTTTCGGGCCCCAGCCTGGTTCCCTGCCCTTCACACTGCTGGCTCACCGGGCTAATTCCACAATCAAGCGTCCTCCAGGGGCTACACAGGCCCCGAGCTCAGGGCTGAGAAGATGGACCATCCTGTGTAGAGAAACGGAGAGGGCTGAGGCCAGACTTTCAGGTCTTGAGGGAGGAGGGCCTGGGGCCTGGACTCTGGGTCTGAAGGAGGAGGGGCTGGGAGATGGAAGCCTGGACAACCCCAGGCCCTCTTACCCACAGGCCATGTAGAGAAGATGGAACCGTCCCTTGTAGCAGCTCTTGTGGTGGAGGGTCTGAGCAGAGCCGAGGGGCAGGAAGTGGACAGTGAAGGATTCCGGGCTGGGGGCTGCTGGAGAAGACTGGCAGTTAGGCAGACACACAAAGCTTGGATGTCTCGAATATCTTTTTCATCCTTTCTCTTGGGTGGATTCGTGGGAAATTTTGGAATGTTGACTCCGGTCACATAGGGTGTCCAGGCAACTGGGAGGGCCAGGTTGGGGAATGGTTAGAAGGAGCATGACCAGATTTGGGGGGGGTGGGTGTTCTCTCCAAAGGTGAGCTGGGAGAGACCAGCGCCTCCTTACAATCTCAGCCCCTTAAACTTCTATAGGAAGGTGTAGAATCTACTACTGGAATTCAGAATGCTAAAAATGGTGTCAGGATTTAGAAAAGGGAGAGAAATACAAAGAGGAGAAAACGGTCTACAGCCATGCTACCCTGAACAAGCCCTATCCCTTCTAATCTTGGATGCTAAGCAGGGTAGGGCCTGGTTAGTACTTGGATGGGAGATAACCTAGGAAGACCAAGTGCTGTAGGCATAAGAAATTAAATAAATAAATAAATAAATAAAAGATTGTTAAGCTGACAAGGTCCTTGAAATCTGTGAGGTCAACCAAGGGTTGCCTTGCCTAAAAAAAAAGAAAAGGGATGGACTGTCAGAAAGGGGCACTCGCTTGTCCAAGCATTGGGAACCATATCTGTCCACGCTAGCCCTTGAAAGCCCTGGAGCCTGAAGCTCCAAAAGGGGGCCCGGGTCCCACTCGCTCGGGAAGGATGATGTATCCACTTTATCATCTGAGCCGCCTCCCATCTCAGGGGAAGAGCTGAGTCCACGGATTACCAGGCTCCTGGGTTCCATCCGCTTGGCCCAGCACCTCCACGGGGTCTTGCTGCGCAACTTTCCCACACTCCCAGGCCGCCATCGCTCTGAACAGCTCTGTCACATTGTGCTGTGTGATCTCGCCGGCTGTCTGTGGGGGAGAATAGGCGTAGCCAGAAGCTCAGATAGGACAGCGAGGGCAGGGCTTACAGTATGCCACCCTCCGACCACTCCACCCCCAGAGTTAGCATCTGCAGGACAAGCTTGGGTTCTCCGGGCTGTTTTAGTAAGCAAAGAGGGAAGGAGATGTAGCCCAAGGAGGCGGAGCCCAGAGCTTTGTGGGCGGGGCCTGGGATGCAAGGGGTGGGGCTCGCAAACACCTCCCCGGCACCAGCACCTAGTGCTGCACACCTTGATCGGCTTCCCGTTGCTAGTCCGCAGGAGGCCCTCGTCGTCAGCTTCGATTCCAAAGGCCACGAAGGGCCCCGTGGCGATGTCTCCCCAGTACCCTCGCACTGCCACACGCTCCCCGCGCTGGGAAATTAGGGAGAAAGAAGGTGGGTGAGGTCGATGTTGGGGATTTCGGCTCCTAGGTCCCCCAAAAGAAGAAGCGGGCCAGGGCAGGGAGTGGACACGCACGTGGCTCATGAGATGACCCGACGCCAGGGTCCGATTGGGCACATGGTAGGCACTGGAGTCTCTGAGTTCAAAGGCAATGCCTGTGTCCCTCCAGCGCCGGAACTCGTGGATGTGGATGACTCGGGCCTGAGGAAAGGGGAGGGAAGAAGAGGGGCCTCAGCGAATCCGGTGTGTGGGCCCCAGGCTCTCTTCCCAAAGACCCAGGAGTCCGGGCTTCGGGTCCCTCCTCTTTCACACCCAGGACTGGGGGACCCCAGACCCCTCACCCCGCGGTCATGCAACTTCATGTGTAGGTCCCAGTCGCTGACACCGCGCCGGGCGTCGTAGCGGGAACCCAGGTAGTGGCGCAGCCTCGTGTCCCAGAGACAGCGAATGGGGAAGGACTCGGGCCCCTTCTCCCCGCCAGCCCAGAAGCGGAACACGGCCTCCAGGGCATCCCGCTCTCGGAACTGCACGGCCGGCACGCGTGGGGAAAGAGCGAAGGAGAGAGGCTGCAGGGAGAGCGGCCTCTCCTGTTTTACCTTCCTTTCCACCCCAGGGCACGATTCTCCCGTTTCTCAGATGAAAAAAATGAGGCTCAGAAATTAGAAGCCACCCCCTAGACCAAATTCCACAGCACAAGCCGCGGAGCTAGGGGTCGAACTCCCGAGCCCCCATCCCGCTCCATCACCGCAAATCCTTTGGGGCCGCCCATCTCCATTCTTTTCGTGGCCACCCGGATCCCAGGCGGTGACGGACGAGGCCAGGCAGCGGCACCTTCAGGGCGCCCAGGCGGAGCCAGGGCAGCTGCTCCGCCATGCGGTCAGGCTCTGGGACCAAGTGTGCCAGGCGGTCAGCCTGAGCACGCACGAAGGCGGCCACCGGGGGGCGCAGTAGCGTGTTCCCCCACACTTCCAGGAAGGTCTCGCTTTTCTCTGCGGGAGGACGGAGAAAAGTGGTGCGGGGAGGATGGTGTGAGTCCAGAAATAAGACCCGTGTCTTAAAGCTATAATTAGCTTTATAGAACAGCGCCTTCTGTATGACGCAGACCATCCTTATAGAATCTTATTTCCTAGTCATATGATGAGTACAACAGACCCTGGCAAACTTCCCACCCACCCCAACAGCTAGAATGTGAAGAATGACTTACACCTCTAGATCTCCTTATCTGTTCCCCCTCCCTAGATAACCCCAAACCTGTATTTCATGTTTGTTTTCCTTGCCTTAAAAAATAAAGGTTACAGAGGGAGATGGAGATAATATGTATGTTAAAATTTTACAATATAAGTTGTTTCATTGTAATTAAGAATCTGAGATAACTATATACTTTTAGTTGTATATACATATATTTATGTCAGTAAATTTATATATCCATATATAAATGGTTTCATTTTGATTATTTAAGAACCTTATCAAGAGACCTCTATACCTTTGGTTAGGTGTAGATAAGATTAGTTTAGTTCTAGTTGTTTAAGAACTTTATACACAGTACACTGTGAAGTGTGTGCAGTGTATTACGAAGACCCCGGGCTACTGCTGACAGCTACCATTCATAATCGCAACAATAATCACTAAGATGCACTGACTCTATCTGTATAGCCAGGAGCTATATGGTTTGTTTGTTTGTTTGTTTGTTTGTTTGTTTTCATTGAATCCTCAAAAGTACACTGTGGGGCAAAAGCTTTTAGATTTCCTATCTTATAAATGTAGAAACTGAGGTCCAGAAAGGGGCTGACGCTAGCCCAAGGTCACACAGCAAGCAGAGCCAGAATTTGAACAGAGCCTGAGTCCAGACTTTGCTCTAGTTACTGAGCTGAAGTTGTTGTTACTGAGAAATAATCATTTTCTGCCTTCCTGCCCAAACTCTCCTCTCTCTCCTTCTTTTAGTCTCACTTCCAAGGCTGCCTCCTCCAGGCTGACACCCTGTGATTCACACCTCTCACTGAAAGAGGCCTGGGAAGGACTGAGCTCCACTCAGCCAAACTCTCTCCGCATCTGGGGACTCATTAGCTCTCAGGAAGTTTCCTAATCTCATCTGGACTTACCTCACTGTAGGAGGTTTTGAACACCTGAAAGTTTATTGTGGATTTTTTTCCCAAAATTCTCTCAAACGAGTGAGCAAGTGATGAAATGGGGAACAATGTCTAAAATGTTTAACTGTATCATCAAAATGCCAGAATTCCTGCAGGGAGGGGAGAGGGACTGGGGGCCAAAATGCCCAGGTCCTTGCAACTGACCTTGCAGCCCCATCTTCGCAGGGTTCTCCAGGACTAGGCTGAAGACCAGCATGTGTCGGGCCACAGCTTCCAGATTATTCTCCAGCACGTAGAACTGGAAGGATGGACAGGGTAGAATGATTCTGAGATCTGTGTCTCTGGCTCCTGGGGAACCCAGGCGTGAGAGACCTCAGCCCCCTCTTTCCACAGGACCCAGAATCCTAGCTCACTTGGAACCTTCTGCGAGGCCAGAGTGCCGCGCGGGCCAGGGTCCGCAGCAGGTGCCGCCCATCCACGGAGCCCAGCAGCAGCACATCTAGCTGTGGGGTTCCGTGCTCTGTATCGGCCTGCGAGTCTGGGTCCACAAGAGGACCTGGCAAGGCGACAGCGGGCTCGGGATTAGCCTGGAGAGCGCCCCCGGCAGCCGCCCCAACACGATGAACTACGACTCCCAGCAGGGTTTACAACTCTGGCCTAGGTTTGGAAGGGAACTATGCCTCTAAGCATTCTGGGACTCGTAGTCTGCAGAGAGACCACCTGGGAAGTTTCACCCGGGGACGCCCCCTGCCGTTGGAGCCTCAGAGAACGTTAGCGCATCATCTGCCAGGCTGTGAAGGCAGCCTGTGTGACAGATGAGGTCCTGGACTGGGGGACTCACTCTCGGCCTGCAGGTCCAACGCTGGGGACAGGCCCCACCAGGACACGGAGCCGAAGCCCGTGCCAGAGCCTGCTGGTGTGGTCATCGCCCTGCGGGACAGACATCCAAAGAATCCGCGAACATCGTCTCTGTGTCTACCACCCATTCCCCTCTCACCGTCCCAGATTTCTCGCCTCTTTCCTCCACGTGACACCCTCCTCACCTCTATCCTTCCAGATATCCTGTGGCGGACCCTTTCTCCTTGCGAGGTGCTGCGCTGCGATTCCGCGCCCCTCCACAACTACGGCTTATAGCTCCCGCCCTCTTCGATCAACCAGCCAGTGAGAATTTGCCCATGATAAACTAACCAACGAGAGCAAGAGGGACCCTCCTGCTTCGAACTTTTGGCCAATTGGGAACGTGTCAGAGTCAGACGCGTGGACGCGGTTGTCATGACGACGGTGCTGGACGAGAAGGGGCGGGGTCGTTAGAGATTGGGGAGGAGTCGGGGGAAGTCCAAATTTCTGGGATGAGGAAGGTCTGGGCTGATTCAAAACTAGAACTGAAAAGAATTTTGATTAATCCAAATTAAGTGAGATGGCCTAGACCTTAAACAATAGACCTCTGTGTCCCTTTATCTCTCATACTCTGACGCTACCACACAGGACTTCTCACCAGGTGGGAAACGCAGGGAAACCCTGGGGCCCACCAGCACTGGCCCCTGGTTGTTAAATTATCAGGAATTTTGTGACCTGGCTATTATACTCAGTCATTACTAAAAATGAATTTTCTTACTAAATTAACTACTGAAAATTAAGTTCCAATTAAATACATTGCATTAAAATAAAGATAATACATACTTGAAACTCATACTTCTTATTTTACTACATTTTACTATTTTTGATGGTCTTATGGTTATTTACATCTATTGTATCTATATGAAGAAAATACTATTTTAATGCAATGGTTTTTTTAAAAACATCAAATTGGTAAATTGCAACCACAGACTGTCTACACATGAAGTTTTATTAGAACTAGGGCCAGGATTAGGATGAGGCACAGTGGTCCAAGTGTAGGGTCAGATCCTGTCTTTAAAATGTTCACATTTTGTTCATTGTGGGTTTTTTTTTTTCCGTATTTTTATTTTTAAAAACATTGCACTAAAATACTATTTATCTTGATTAATGAATGTTTCCTTTTTGGCGAGGGGAAGGGGTGGTGGGAGGGGGCCTTGGCTTTGCCTTAAATTTGGGGACCCTCATCCTGACCCTGAGAAATATTTAATGTTGGTGCACTAGTAGACATCTCTTCCCAACTCCATATTCAGTGATTTCACATTCCTGGCTTGAAATCAACCAAAGTGAGAGTATTTGCACCACATAAATGGGCAAACCATACACCAGGGTTTCAGAAACTTCGTAACAGCACACACGAGAAGCAAGCAAGTCCTCTCTTGTCTGCAGGTGTGTATTTTCTACATTGTTCCTGCTAACATCCTCCCCATTCTCCCTCTAAAAAAATCAGTTCATCCTTCCAATCCCCAGCTGGGAATCATCCTCTGAGTTCTGCTCCTACCTCCCCAGCCAAATGGCCACAGCTGTCTACTCTGTGATTCCCAATACTTCATATTGGGGCAACCAGACAGCAAGATTCTTGATAACGTGGCTTTTGGTGTCAGACATGCCTGAGTTTACATCTTGCCCTGTCACTTGCTGCTGAGAGGTCTTGGCCAGGTGACAACCTGAATTCCACAAGAGCAGGGACTTGAGTGAGACACATCTCCAGATCAGTTCTAGCATCCAGCACAGAAAGCAGTACCCAAAGAGCCTTGGCTCTCTGCCTCTTCCCCTCGCCCAGCTACACAACCTTGGAAAAGTCATGATAAACTCACAAATGAGTAAGTGAATTTTCATTGACTCCTCACAGCACTCAGAGGGGCAAGTGAATGAATAAATGAAGGAATGAATAGATGAGCAAGTGGGTGAGAGGCTGGATGGGTGTGTGCATGGGTGAGTTTCCCTCAGTGTGTTGCCAGGATAGGCAGCCCTAATCCCACGCATGTGATCCCACTCCTGGAGGTGAGGCTCCCTCTTGGGCCCCTGCCCCCACCCCTCCCCATCCCCAACAATAAGCACCCAGCCAGGCCACCAAAGTTGCTGAGTATTTATTTGGCCCCAGGGGGAGTTCAGGAATTAGGTTGGGACAGGAGTGGGAGGTCCTGTGTAGAGTGAAGGAGACATGGTGGGTAGGTGGAGAACCAAACTGCTCCCCTCCCCACAGAAGTCCCTGGGGTTGCTGGGTATGTGCTGTGGGAGAGTTGGCAAGTCATCATGATTGGCATAATGGGGGTGAGAAGGCAGGAACAGGTCAGATGACTGGGGCGGGGGGTGGGGCAGCTAGCAGTCAGAGGAGGCTTAAAGGTAGGCCTGAGCCTGGCTTTGGCCAGGAGTCTGGGGTCAGGGGCTTGAAGGTGGGGTCAAGGCGCAGGCAGTGGCCTCACCCGGTCAGGGGGCCGCAATGAGTGCCACTGGGCAATGGGCCGTCGGGGGTTGGCCAGCATATCTGCCCAGTGCCGCAGGCCAGCCCCGCCAGCCGCTGCCCCTACAGCCACCCTCCCAATGGCCTCATTCTTGCCCAGCTTATCGTAGTCCAACACGGTCAGCTCCACCTGGACATTCTGGGTGGGCAGGGGAGGAAGAGGAATAAGGGGAGTTGGGGGTGGAGGCACCAGAAGGGGCTGGGGATGCTCTGAAATATTTCTTTCTGCAGGATCAGATTCCACAGGCAAGAAACCCTCAGGACCCCGTTTGCAAAGGATGGTTAGGGGCCTTCTTAGGAGGCAGCCTCCTAAGGGGGGCCAACCTCCAGGACTCTTAGGTGGCTGGAGGGGCCTGCCCCTAAAGGGCTGTAGGGAAGTCTCTTTTTTTTAAGTAGCCATGGCTCCTGGCGGGGGGTGGGGGGTGGGGGGGGCGGCATCCAGGTCCTACTTGGGGCCACCTGGTTCTCATAGAGTGAAACTGAAAACACAAGCTCAGAACCCAGGCCCTGGCTTCATGGGATAGCTAAGGAGTCTCTTTCCCCTAGCAATGGGGGTTTCTAGGGGCCTGGGGCTCAAGAGGAGGGAATATCTGGACCTGGACCTGATCTGAACTCACCTGGACTTGGTCACAGGGCACCTCGAAGCTGAAGGCCTCGTTGTAATAGGGGTTCAGGGTGTTCTTCTTGATGGTCGTTTTCTTCTTCCGCACCTTTTTGCCACCCTGCAGCAGGTGGACCTTGACATATGGATCTGGAGAGAGGAAGCACGAGTCTCAGCCCCTCCGCTGCTGAGTCCAAGGGTGTCAGATACAGGGGATGGCATGAGACTCTTCTTTGGAAGAGATACCCCATGCACCCCTCAGGTCTCTTCTGTCTGTGCCCAAATTGAATCTACATCCTCTCATTGTAGCCTGAACTTCCCTCTCCTCTCCCCTAGGGACCCTCCAGCGGAGAAACTGTCAACCTCAGCCAGAGGACTCCCCCTGTCCCCCCGCACCTCTCCTTGCTTCCCACACACCTGAAAGCCCTCCAACGTCCATCTTCTTCAGGTTTTTAGCCTCCAGGACGATGACCGTGAGCTTCCCGGCAGTGGGAACATAGCGGAGGGAGAAGCAGATGTCTCCCAGCTTATCCTGATAAAAGACAGAGAGGAACCCATCTCTAGAGTACCCACTGCACATCGCTCCCCCTTGTCCTGGAGTGGAATGGTCCAGAGCTAAGACTCCAGTGGTACGATCCAATGGGGGAGGCGGCAACCTATCAGGAGCGCCCTTGGGGGTACCCCCCTGCAGCAGGTAGAACATCTGGAAATGGTGGGGGGGCGTTGGGCCCAGTTGCGAGGGCGGGGCCAAGTGTGCTCACCTCCTCCCGCGGAGCCGCCTGCAACTCGCGCCAGGCCAGCACTGGCCGCCCCAAGTCCACGGAGCTCATGGGGACCCGCACTTCCCCAATGGCATCATTGCGGGAGAAGCGGTCGAAGTCGTACACTGCCATGACCAGTACCCTGCCCCCCAGCTCCACGTAGGGAACCTGGAGCGGGTGCGCCCAGAGAGCACAAGGTGGAGAGAAGGCAATCAGAGAGGAAGCGGGGCACCGCACATCAGGGCAAAGGAGACAAGTGGGGCAGCGAGGGGCACAGGGGACAGTTGGGGGGGCAGTTCGTGGAACCCAAATGGAACAACCCAAGAACCAAGGGAACAGCCTAGGGGTCTGTAGTGCCCCAAAGGGACTACCCAGGAGCCAGTGGAATAGTCCCCAGAGCTGGTAGCTGCCACTTGAGCTGTGGCTACCTCCAGAAAGAGCAGAATAGATTGGTCCCCAGTGTTCTAGGGACTGGGGGCAGGCTTCCAAGTGTGGGGCACTGAGGCCAGGTGCTTACCTTGAAGGCAAAGTTCTCCTCAAAGTGTGGGTTCAGCGTCTGCCGGTGTACCTTGGTCTCATGCCGCCTCCGCTTGTCTGGCAGCAGGTAAACCCGCACATAGGGGTCTGAAGAGCCACCCAAGTCCAAAGCCGCCAACCCCTTGGCTTGCAGGATGCCTACCAGCAGCTGTACAGTGATGAGGGGCCCCTAGACTTAACTTTTTTTCTGGACCCTCCTGGGATTCCCCCTCCACCCCCTGCCAAAACCTCCCCATGGTCCACACCCACCTGGCCACTCTGGAAATCGTAATCCAGTGAGTACTGCAGTCGTCCTAGCTCATGCTTCTCTGCCACCTGCTGCCCAGGCCCGGACAGTGCCGGCTCCAGCTCCTCCACTTCTGGCTGCACCTTAGGGAGGTGCAGGGCAAGGGCTGGTGAATCTTCCCTCCTGTTATCCTCCAGACCCAGAAGCCAAGGGAGACTCATACATCCCCTCAGCTACACCTTGAGCACTCGTAGGCTAAGGAGAGTCAGTGTTTGACTAGTGATGTCTGCCAGAGGCAGGGAATAGCCATAGCAACACATATACAGTATGTCAATGTTCGATTAGTGATGTCTGCTATGGTTGAGGAACACACGTTGTAACAGGTAACCATGCCTAAACTAGAAAAACAAGCACGATAGTGTCTCATGGCCTTCAGGATAGAGGTAGGAGATTTTATTGCATTGCTGATGGATATATTGGGGCGGTTGTGCAAATTGCTATGTTGTTTAATGATCTTTTCACAGCACAATATGGAGGAGAAATGGCATATTTACTGTGTATTTTCCATTCTAAATAAGAACAAGAAAACCAGAAGGCTTCTTAACCTAAGTCACCAATTTTCAAAATTCAGTGTAAATCAGAATTCCCGTGAGTAGTGTGGTAAAAAGCCTTCACTTCGGAGATTCTCACTCAGTAGGTTTGGCGCAAGGTCCAGAATTTACATGTCAACAAGTACCGAAGGTGATTCTGATGCAGATGGTCTTTGACTGTCACTGGCTAAAGGGTAGGGATGGAGACTGGATACCAGAACCCTAAAGGGCCTCCCTTATGGGTAAGAATTATAATAGCTATTTGTTGAGAAGGAAGGAGGGGAAATACTAGTTATGAACCATGAACTTGAGGCTCAGAGAGGAACAGTGAATTTTCCAAGGTCACACAGCTGGTTTCTCTGGGTTGGAAACCCAGGGCTCCTTGGCTCCAGGTGAGCATCATTTCACTCTGCATTCAGAGACCTAATACTCAGGTCCTTTAACCTGTAACTTTTCACTTTCCACTCCAATGGCCTCTTCCAGCTCATGGTTCCTTTCTCTTCTCAGGGCTGCCATGAGCCCTCCTCCCTGGTCTCCTTGCCCCAGGTCAGTGCCCCACATGAGTTCCAGGGTGTTCATCCTAACACCCATCTGAACCTGTCTTCTCCTGCTCAAAACTCTCCACAGCTCCCAGCCACCCTCATTACATGGACACTGCTGGCTCTCTAGCCACTTCACTCTAGAGCACAGTGGATCTGTGTTCTACGCCCCAGCCAGTGTGGAAATGACTCTTTGTTTTCCAAATACATGTCAGAACCTGGATTCCAAGCCTCTGCACATATGCTTCCTTTGAGCTAGAATATCCTCTCTATTCTTGGTTAACTCTATGTGTCACCTCCTCCAGGAAGCCTCTGGGACCCTCTAGACCGTCAGGTAGTTTCTCTGCACCTCCATATGCCCTGTACTGCCACTAACATGCCATGTACAACCCTGAATTGTGAATGTCTGCGTGCATGTCTGACTTCTCCACCAAGCTGGAAGGTTCTTGTGAACAGTGAGTAGGTCTGGTCAATCTCCAGGTCCCCAGGATCCAATTTGGGGCTAGACACACAGGAAAGATGGGCAAATAAGGTGGGCATGGGGGGAAGGGAGCAGGGACTGAGGTTGCTGGACTATGGAGGAGAGCAGGGGTAAAGAAAGGGGCAGGGCTGAGGGGCTGGGCCAGGCCAGACCTTGTCTATATAACTCTGGCCCAACTCCTTCACTTCCTGTAGGTGGACCTGGGCTTGGGCCTGGCTCTTCTTGCTCATCCGCCTCCGACAACGCTTCCGGTAGAGACAGAAACAGCAGCTGAAGATGAGGAGGCCTGAGACCAGGACGATTGTGGCCAGGGCCCAGGGGGGCACTGCAGAGGGAATGGACACAACAGACATTGAGGCCTTAGGAAGCAAGCTGGGTAGTTCAGTCTGGATGACATGTGGAAGTTGGAATCCTGGCTTTGTTTTCCCTCCAGCCATATCCATTCCGTTGTACTCCCGTGCTTTTCTTCCAACTGATCTCACCTATAAAGTGATTTGACACCCTAATCCAGGCTGACACTATCTGGCTTTTCTTGCCTAGTACTTCCAACCCCTATTCTAATTTCTGCTCAAGTCCTGATGCTCTTAGAATCCTTAACCCCTCATCGGGCCTCAGTTTCTCTATCTTTAAAAGGGGAGAGGTGGACCTTACAGTTCACCAAGCCAGGATTCCAATCTGTTCCACACCCCTTGATCTAGTTCTCATTTTTGTGGCAAATCTGTTCATTTTCGATTTCATTTAGATTCCACCACGATACCACCCAGATTTTCCAGCCCGCCAGCCCAGTATGCCCGTCCGAATCCCGCCCCCAGGAATCCTGGCCGGGCTTTCCCTCGGCTGCTGCCTCGGGTCTGGCTCACCTGGGCCCTGGCTGATGCGACTTGAGTCTGGAGGCGAGTCGGACGCAGGAGGCCCGGGGGTTGGGGGCTCCGGGAACATGGCGGCGGGGTCCTACGGTCCTTTCTGCGGAGGCAGCCAAGCGCCCTAGCGCCCCACGCCCACCCCGTGCCACCATTGAGTCTTCCCAACAGCAAAGAACCCACATCTGCACCCTGGGCGACCGGCCGCACGGTGGCATGCCGGGGATGTCGTTTCATCCTCCCACGACGGAGGGCGCACGCTGTGTGTGCGTTCCCGGACCTAGACCCGTCCTGAAGGGATGTCCTCTCCTTCCGGGACCTCCGCAAGGATCTCCGCTCACTTTTGCCCTTTTCTTGCCCCTCTACAAGTGGGCGAAGGAGAGCCTGGGAACCAGCACCCCGGGTTGCCCAGAGCAACGCCTGGCTCCGCTTTGGGTGGGGTGGGAGCCACGCTTGTTGCGCTGGCAATAGCCCGTTTCCACGACAACGGGCGGAGCTTACGCGCGGAAGCCAAGTCCCCGCGGGGCTGGCTGGCTCCGTGCCCTGTCGTGCCTGGGACCCCAGACCCGGATCCCTGGATGAGCGAGGGTGAGGAGGGGCGACCTTCCCGTCGATCCAGGCGCCCACATCTGGGAGCTGACTCGGGCGTCCCTCCTCTTCCACACTTTCCAGAAATGTGGGGGCGAGGGGCTGTCTGCTGCCTCTGCTGGGCTCCCATCCTTCTCGGCCTGCTGGTCTCTCCCGCGCATCTTGAGCTCTGTGTTCACACCTATTCTCACGACTGCCTCGGTCCCTACTCCTAGCTCTTGACTCCCTACTTCTGTCTGTACCCCCATCGGACCCTTGCCGCTCCCCCGCGTCTTGCTTGCCCTCTGCCTGTTATCTGGTCTCGGTCTCCCGGGGTCTCCCACTTTCTCCCCCTGCTCACTCCTCCCTCTCCTCAGGCTCTTTGTCCCCACATCTGTCTCAATAAATCCCAGTCTCAATGTTTCAGGGTCTAGTCCTCCCACAACCTCTGTTGGTTCCACACAGGGTCTCCCACACACGCACACACCCCTTCCCTCTAGGGATGGGAGGAAGGATGGTGTTTAGGGAGGGGATCCCAACAGCTCCTTACCAGCTGGACCGGACCCTCCCGGGAGACGCTGAGGCGCCGGCGCCAACACTGACGCGGAAGGGTGGCGCTGTCCTGGGTGCTGATCGCGGGCTCTTCCTGCTGTGGGAGAGGCATAGCTGTGCCACATCCTTAAATGTCAGGGGAACAGGGTTCAACTATGGGCCATGCTAGGTTTGTGTGTGTGTGTGTGTGTGCGCGCGCGCACGCGCGCGCGCGCGCCTGCGTGTTCGGTCTCAGATAGTGGAGAGCCCCGACCCGCCCCTTGTCCCTCCTCCAGCCAGGAAACACCAGGGCGCTGACTGATATTCATCCTGGTCTCCCAGGATTTTCTGCCTTCTAGTCTAGCCCTTTGGCATCTAGCCCCAACCACTTCGCACCCCCTGTACTGCCCAAAGAACCAGGAGCCAGGGTACTCGGTCCTAGGACCCAGGAGACCCTCTCCGGAGACCCTAGAATTCAGATATCCAGACAAGAGACTCAATGTGAGTCTCCAGCATATTAGCTGCAGATACCATTCCACTAAGTCTACCCCCCATTGCCAGGCCCAAGAGGCAAAGCCCCCACGTTCTTTGCTTTAGGGAACCGTATTCATACCGCCCAGACCCTGGACACCGAACTCTGTACCTCCAGCCTTCTCTAAGACTCAACCTTTCAAATCTACATTTTTCAGTGGCAAAATTGTAGGCCCATCTAGTTTCCTCCCTAGGACATTTGCCTCAGTACCTAAACGTCCCATCCCCAGGAACACTCCCACCCCCCAATATTATTTCCAGACCCAGAAATCCATTGGGGCAAGTGTCTCTGAGGAGGATAGTAATTTAATAAATTATGAAACAGAAGAAAAAGATATGTATAGACAGGGGGTGCTGGGAAACCTGAGATCCTAGAAAACTGATTCGGTTTCTGGAGTAAAAGATGGGTGGGATCCTGGCTGCCCTGGCTCCTTGGGTAGCCAGAATCCTTGAACTTCCTTCCTTCCTTCCTTCCTTCCTTCTTTCCTTCCTTCCTTCCTTCCTTCCTTCCTTCCTTCCTTCCTTCCTCAGAACCCAGCTTGTTTCTGGGAGACCCTAGCATCCTCCTCCCATCATCTTCTGGTGGGATCCCAGATCCTACCTAACCTCCCTCCCACAGGGAAGCTGTGCAGGCTGCCAGCCCCTCCTGCAAGACCCAGGACTCTGGGACTCCAGCCCTCTGCTCTTCCAGGGGTCGAGAAATTTGGGCTGAAATCTGGATGCAGAGTTTGAGTCTGGCTGAGCTGGGGTCTCAGCACCCCAAGCTCAGCTTCCCCTGGTGGGCCTGGATGGCAGCCTCATTCACAAAGAGCAGATTCTCATATGTGGCCCCCTTCTCGGCTGGCGCTAGGGACGACTGCTGGAGAAACCGCAGGATGCACTGGTGTAGGAACACGTACTGAGCCTGGGGAGGGGACAAAGGGAGAGGTGAGCTTTGGCCCACTTTCCCCTGGAGCCCCACACCCACCTACCCTGTCCCCTCAGGAGCCCCGTCACCTCAGTCTGCACCATCATCGGCCGGCTTTCCCGCATCTTCCTCACGTAGCTGAAGGGCCCCATGAGACCCTCATTATCCAGCTGCCATAGTAGGACATCCAGGGCAATGAAGGTGCCCGTGCGGCCCACGCCAGAACTAGGCAGGGACAAGATGACGTCAGGCCACTGGAGGGGGATCTTAAGACAGACTGGAAAGATCCGTTTTCGGAGTGCCCAGGGATTGGCGTATTATTCAGTGAGACACGGTTCTGGGGGCCACAGTGTAAGTGGGGGCACTTAATAAAGGGGGACACCGTTACATGTGACTCTCTGGACTCCTTTATACCTGCCAGGCCCTGCTCCAAATGCTGCACGTGCCTGCCCCACTCCTCCCATGCCCGAGAAATAGGGACGGTCAGTAGACCCATGATACAGATAGGGAAGTGGATGCTGTGCCAGGTGAAGTTGCTTGTCCCAGGTGACTCAGCTAGTAGGTGATAGACCTGGGGTTCACACACGGGAAGATGAACTTCCAAGATGATAACTTTTTAAAAATTTTTAAACAAAAAATTAGTCATTTTAAAGTGAACACTCAGTGGCATTTAGTACATTCAGTGTTGTGCAACTGTCTTCTCCATTTAGTTTGTGAACACTTTCATCTCCCTGAAAGGAGAGACTCTTCACTCATGAAGCAGCCACTCCCCATTCTGCTCTCCCTCTAGCCCCTGGCAACCCCCACTGTTTCCCGGTGGATTTGCCTGTTCTAGACATTTCATGTAAGTGGAATTATACACTATGTGACTTTCTGTGGCCAGTTTCTTTTACTCAGCCCCTGTTTCTGAGGTTTACCCACATCATCACATGAATCAGTGCTTCACTTCTCTTTATGGCTCAACCTATGAGTCTAAGCTACAGTAGGTGACTTCCTTTTATACTGGTGGGGGAAACAGTCTGCTGCTGGGGATGCCACCACAGGGACCACTCTGGGACAGTGCAGGTGTTAGGACGTGGTTTGGCAGAGAGGTTGGGAGCCCCCACTCAGAGGCTGGGCGTCACTCTGGAGCACGCCCTTTCTTCATCTCCCCTGTATTTGCATTTAGTGAAACCTCATCTTCTGTGGCATAAACCGGAAAGCAAAGCGACTGAGGGATGAAACCCTGCACAGGGGCCTAAGGAGTGTTTCGATGCTTCTCAGAACCTCTTGCTGCTTCTCCCTCTTCCTCCTCTGCCTTTCCGATTTTCTTTCCCATCTTTTCATCCATGTCCTCATAACTTTGCTCCCAAGCTGCATCACTGCCTCTTTGCCTTCTGCCTCCATTGCTACCTCATCTAGAAGTTCCCAAGGACCCACGTAACCTGCTTTCTGGGTCCCTGAGTCCTGAGGGGGCATTGCTTTCACAAGGGGAGGCCTCAGGGTATCCTCACCTGCAGTGTACAATCGAGAGCACCTTCCAGAAGGCCAGCAAGGGGTCGGGGGAGTGGGGCATGCCATAGTCTGGCCAGGCCACAGAGTGGAACTGACGCATATGGAGAATCCTCTGCTCATGTGTCTAGATCGAGGGGGTTTGGGAGAGAGAGCTCAAAACCAGGTTGGGGGGAGGGGGATGGTGTTTGATGGGTGGGGACATTCCTGGGGCACATTGGGGTCCCTGGGGGAATGACAGAAGGTTGGACGCACATGCCAGAGCTTCGGGTCTCGTACGGTCCAGTCCTCCATCACCTGCTCACCCTCCAGGGTCACCTGCAGGTGCCTGTGGGTGCAGGGCTGGGCGTCTAGAGGCCAATAATACTCACACTTCACCTGGCGGGGACAAGAGGACATCAGAGAACAGGAAGCCCTGAGAACCTACCCAGGGCACCTCTGCGTGGTGTCTCATATTCAGAGCCAGGGCACCCCCTGCCCTGGTGACCAGGCAGGAGCCACAGGTGGCCAGGTGTACACGTGCCCCAGCCAGGAAGACCCTCTATCCCAAGGTCAATAGATCAGCTTCACCCAACACGTGGACTGCTGCATGGCCCGAGGGGGATGCAGGAGCCTGGGGTCCTATGAGAGGGAGCCAGCAAGGTCTGGGCCAGGGTCTGGATGAGGGTCAGCCCCAGGCTTCTCACCCGACCCAATTCCACACAGTTGGTCAGCATGACAAGGCTATGGCTCTGCTGCTCCCATACCAGGTGCCAGAAGTCACCCACCATCTGGGGCAGGGGACCCTGGGCTGCAATGAACTCCTGGGGGCTCCAGAGACCCTGGCCAAAGAAACAGAAAGCAATGACCCCTGTGGCCATCCTTGGGCCCCTTGAGTACCCTCCCGGCTCCCGGCCACAACCTACAGGCACAAAGCTGGCGTTGATGTAGTTGGACCCTGGCTCCCCATGAAGGGACTTCAGAGGCACATGGGACCAGTCATCTGGGGGAAGAGGCCAGCACCAGGGGTGCAGAGAATGGCGAGAGGCTCAGAAAGGCTCAGACCAGACTGGGCCCCAAGAGCCGAAGTCATGCTGGGCCGCAGACACACTGGGAGCTCTGATGGGGGTGGGGGACCTCCGCTGGGAAGAGTGAGTTGGGGACACTCATGTCCCCGGGACAAGGGACAAGGGACAAGCTAGGATAGGGCATGGACAAAGTCACACTGGGAACAAGTCAGCAGAACTTTAGACTCACAGGGCAGCACATTTCTGTACCGGTTCTTGGCACTGTTTTCTGAAGCTGAGGCCACCATCTGAGACTGGCTGTGGGCCCCCAGGGCCAAATGCTGGAAGCAGAGGCAGAGGAGAGGTAGGCAGAGCTTAGAACCCCTCCACCCTCGCTGGAGGGCACCCCTGTTGCTCCCTTTGCCTTCTTCAGTGCCGCCCATTTACCCTCACTCTGGAGTTCTGTAGCACCCATGGAAATGAAAATATGTGTGCACCACCATCCCTGTGGAGCATTTGGGAGGATTTTGGGGATGGTGTGGACTGGAGGGGTAGGCTAGAGAGAGGGATGTCAGGGGAAAACCAAGGTGCTTCTCTAGGACTGACCCAAGGACCTGTTATAGTGTAAGATTTCAATGAGTCGAAACAGAATTGTGTCTGAGAACTTTTGCAGACACATGTTGCTACTTCTGTTCAATTCCAAAGGCTGTGGAGAGGTCTGGTGGGTCCATGGAGCTTAGCTGAGCCACTCTGTCCTCACTCCACCTGGTACTCCTCCGCAAAGCCACAGTTGCTGTCCTTCTCATTCCTCCTGACATGGTCAGCAAAGTCATCTGCTGGGATGTCCCCAGGGAAGCTGAGGGTAAGGGGATAAAAACTTTAACTCCTTTAATCCTGTGCTCTTGGGATAAAAGAAAAGGTGTTTTTGTTGTTGTGTACATCTTCAGAACGTATTTATTTTATAACTAGAAGTTTCTACCTTTCTACCTTCACCTGCTTCACCCACCCCTTCATCTCCCAGCCTTTGGCAATCATCAATCTACTCTCTATATCTATGAGTTTGTATTTTTCTAAATTATTTTTAGATTCCACATATAAGTGAGATTATATAGTATTTGTTTTTCTGTCTGACTTATCTCGCTTAGCATTATGACCTCAAGATCCATTCATGTTGTTGCAAGTACCTGGATTCCCTTCTTTTTATGGCTGAGTAATATTCCATCATACATATACATATAACCACATTTCCTTTACCCAGTCGTCCATTAATGGACACCTAGGTTGTTTCTATGTCTTGGCTACTATGAATAATGCTGCAATGAACATGTGGGTGCATATGTCTTTTCAAGATAATGATTTTGTTTGCTTTGGATAAATACCCGCAAATGGAATTGCTAGATCAAAAAAAAAAAAAGATGTTTTTCATTCATTAATTCTACTTCTGGGTATATAGTCAAAAGAACTGAAAGCAGTGTCTTGAAGAGATGTTTGCACAGTGATGTTTGTAACAGCATTATGTACAATGGCCAAAAAGTGGAAGCACCCAAGTGTCCATCAATGGATATAAGTAAAATGTGGTCTATCCACACACTGGGGCATTACTCAGCCTTAAAAAGGAAGGACAGCCTTTTTGTCTGGCCGCAGTCATCACATAAGCAATGATGGGCACTTACAAGTACATCCAGGAGCTATGGAGGAAGAAGTAGTCTGATGTAATGCGTTTTCTTCTCAGGATGTGCTACTAGCAGTACCATTAGCAATCTGAGCTCCATAGGGCCCCACCCCACCTAGCCCAATAAAGTGTGCAAGCTGGGATACAAGGCCAAGCAAGGTTATGTCACATATCAGATTTGTGTGTGCCGTGGTGGCCGCAAACGCCCAGTTCCTAAGGGTGTGACCTATGGGAAGCCTGTCCATCACGGTAAAGTTTGCTCAAAGCCTTCAGTCTGTTACCAAGGAGCGAGCTGGATGCCACTGTGGGGCTCTGAGAGTCCTGAATTCTTACTGGGTTGGTGAAGATTCCACATACATATTCTTTAAGGTTATCCTCATTGATCCATTCCATACAGCTATCCTACGGAATCCTGATACCCAGTGGATCACCAAACCAGTCCACAAGCACAGGGAGATGCGAGGGCTGACGTCTGCAGACCGCAGGAGCTGTGGCCTCGGAAAGGGCTACAAGTTCTACCATACTATTATTGGTGGTTCTCACCATGCAGCTTGGAGAAGGCCCAATACTCTCCAGCTACACCGTTACCGCTAATATAATGTTCGTAAAATTCTTACCTAATAAACAATTTAGGACAGTCAAAAATAAAGGGGTGGAGAAGGAGATTCTGACCCCTGCCACAGCATGGATGAACACTGAGGACATTGTGCTCAGTGAAATAAGCCAGTCACAAGAGAACAATATGGCTCCACTTATATGATGTACCCAGAACTGTCAAATCCATGGAAATGGAGAGGAGAATGTGGGTGTCAGGGGTTGAAGGGCAGGCCAGGGAGTTGTTGTTTGATGGGACAGAGTTTCAGTTTTGCAGAATAAGCATTCTGAGATGCTGGTGGTGATGGCTGCACAACAATATGCTTGTACTTATTAACACTACTGAACTGTGCACTGGAAATGGTCAAGACAGTGTTATGTTATGTGTACCTCACCGCAATAAGGTATTTTTTTAGTTCAAAAAAGGAGAAGGTGTTTCTTCTCCATTTGGGGCCAGTTCTCTTCTCCTTGGCTCCAGCCCCTTCCCACCTTCACCAGCCAT